GGTGGGAGGAGGGGATAGGTGGGAGGAAGAACAGGTTAGGGAGGCAGGGACGAGCTGGACTGGTTTTGGGATGCGGTAGCGGGAGGGGAGAACGGATTCTCCAGCATCTGCGGTTCCTACTATCTCTGAATATTAACTGTGTTGTTTTCTGACATGCAACCGACGCATTCCCAAACTCCCTGTCACAATAAAATAACACGGATTTCTTTCATAATTCTTTGCTGTCTCGAGGGCATGGAATCCTTTTGGAGTATTTTCCATTGAATGTCCTTCAGTATCCCGCCCAAGGGGCCCATTCTTCACACAATTCTGGACAAGGAATGTTGTCAAACAACTCAACTGTGAAGAAAGGACTGGTATTAATGTTGCCCCCTACCCCCACACACCCAATTACCATACACATAGTAACTTCCCAGGCAGGAGTTACTGCTGAATCAGTAATCATATCAGTTAACCCATTGGATCATAGCAAAGAGGAGAAGTAGGCCATTCAGCCAGATGCTGACTGGTCTTCCACCTCAATGCTGTTTTATCAAGAGATATGGGGATATTTTGAGATGTTAACAATCTAGAAATCTGTCAATGATTAACCATAATCACAACACCATAGGAAATAGGAACAGGAGGAGCCCATTTGTCCCCTTGCTCCACCATTTCTCACATCCACTTTCCTCATAGCCCTCAATTCCCTTACTGATTAAGAATCTCTCTCTCTAACTTAGCCTTAACTACACACAATGACTGCCACCACAGCTCTCTTACAGCAAGGAGTTCTAAAAACTCTCAACCCTCAGAAGAAATTCCTCTTCATCTCATTGATTGAGCTTCTACAGTCCTCTTGGGTAGGGAATGTCAAAGATTCAGCACCCCAAATAAAGAAATTCCTCATCATCTCAGCCCTGATTAGCTGACATCTCATCCTGAAACTGTGTCCTTGGAGTCAAGATCCTTGGTTGGGGAAACATCCTTCTTGCATCTACCCTGTTTGACCCTATATAAAGCAGCCAAGATTCCATCAGATCACCCTTATTCTTCCAAACTCTAAAGAATACAGGACCATCTCCCCAATCTCTCCTCACATGACAAACCCATCAATCCCAGAATTGATGGAGCACAGCGACAGTTTGCCCAATGTATGATATGTATATCCTTCAGCACAGACTAGCACGGCAACTCAAGGTCTACATGTCTACACCACTGAATTATAGTGTTTTGATAACTGAGCACTGGGGGCTGAGAGGATAGGGGCGAAGGGTGGTACTACCATTCTGAAATTAGCTTTAATCTGATTGATTTGTGGGTGAAGCCTGGCATGGATGGAGGCAATGGGAATCCCACACAGGGCCAGAACGCATGACACGGCCACAGACAGTGGTGATGTGGTGGTGTAGGGCAGGGAGCTTTCATGGTGAAAAAAAAGACAGTGGAAGGCAAAGAGAATCCAATAACAACTTGTAATTTTAATCAAGCTTTTAGTGCAATGACATGGGTCCAGGGGCTTCACAAAAAAGGAACAGAACCCAAAGTCTGACACCAAGCCACAGAAGGATGGTTTTTACATATATAAATAAACAAACATTCATTGAATTCCTACAATGTGGAAGTAGGCCATTCAGTCCACACCAACCCTCCAAACAGCATCCTATCCCTATAGGTCTGCACTTCTCATATCTAATCTACCTAACCTACACATCCCTAGACAAGACGGGACAATTTACCATGGCCAAGCCACCTAACATGCACATCTTAGGACTTGGAAGGAAACCCACACAGACACAGGGAGAAAGTGCAAACTCCACATCGCCCAAAAGTGGAATCAAACCCCGGTCCCTGGTGAGGCAGCAGCGTTAACCATTGAGTTACCGTGCCATCCCCTTCTGGGGATGTGGGTTTCACCGGCTGAGCTACCATTTATTGGTCATCCCTAAATGCCCACGAGAAGGGGGAGGTGAGCTGCCTTCTTGAACTACTGCAGAGATTTGATGTTGGTGCACCTACAGTGATACTAGCAAGGGAATTCTGGGACGTTGACTCAGCAACACCGAAGGAACAGCGATATGCTTCCAAGTCAGGAAGGTGCAGGGGTGATACTCCCATGTATCTGCTGCCTTCGTCCTTCTTGATAGGTGTGGTCACAGGTTTGGAAGGTGCTGTCCAGGGTCAGGCAACCAAAAGCTCAGTTGAAGAGGCCAGTTTTAAAAGAGGAGAGGCAGAGGGGTTTTGGGAGGGATTTCCAGAGCTTAGGGCCCAGTCTTTGGAAGGCATGGCCGCAAATGGTACAGCAGTTTAAATTGAGAATGCACACAACACCAGAATTCAAGGAGCATAGATACAGTTCGGGAAGCCTTTATCCAAGTACCTCAGGACCAGCTGTTTTTCGGATACAGAATATGTTCAGTTTTTCTGAAAATTTTTAATTTATCTATAGCTCCATTCTGACCCTTGGAGGAAAAAAAAAACATCAGTTTGGGCCAAGCAAAGTATTTTTCCAAAGAGCCTGAACTCAGCGTGTCGACAGGTCCATTCTCGAAAAGAGCAAAAAAACCATTTTTCAGATGACTGGATGAAGAATATCCGATCTGTATCAGAGAGGGCTGTGGGGTTGGAAGAGACTACAGAGATAGGATAGGGAGGAGCTAAGCCCTGGAGAGATTCGAAAACAAGATGAGAATTTTAAGACCAAGGCGCTGCTTGAACGTGCATTAATGTGAGCAACGGGAAAAAACCTTGCTACAGGTGTAGTAGAGCTTCAAATTAACTCCAGTTCATAGAAAGTAGAATGAGAGAGACCAGGCAAGAATCAGAAGACAATAGCACGGATGAGGATCTTGGTTGCTGGGAAAAAGAACGGGACGAGAAGGACAGAATGGGCGTGTGGCTAGGAACCAGAGGTGGGATGAGGATGACTTGAGCATGATGAATTGAATGGGGTAGCACAGAACGGACATTCCCACATGCTGGACTGCTGCAATGAAGGTAATAATTGCCCACAGGCTTTTGAGGGGCATTGCTGGTGTATTCCACAATTTAGACGGTGGCACCGTAGTATCATTTGGTTATGGTATTTTGTTAAACAATCCTTACCAAATGTGTTTCATCCAAGGTTTATTTGTAAACTAAACACAGAATAGGAGGAAGCAATTCCTGAAATGTAAGTCACTGCACTTTCCAAATCCATATTTTGAA